AGCTTTTAAGTTTCTCAGTTTCACCATGGTTTGCTGTCAATGCACAAATTCTTTTCTGTGTTCTATGCAAATGCCAAAAACTTGGCCTTCACAGAGGCCTCAGAGACACCAAGAGGATTATAAGTACAGGCTATGTGTCTAGCACTCTCCTAATACACAGCTTTATGTACTTTTAAACCTTTCAACAATCTTATGATGTATCTACCCTTAGCTTGCTTTTCAGATTAAAAAAAAAAAAAAGAAGGCTAAGTGAGATTGTTCAAGTGCCCCAAGGTCACACAATGAGGAACAAAAATCTGTCATTAAACTGCAGATCTATTTAACTCCAGAGTGTGTTCTTAACTGCAAAGTTGCAGGCTTGCTTTAAAGGATATACAATGGAGCAAAAGATCAAGGAACAATGGATCATGTGTGGATTTAAGATCAAGACTTAGAACTTCTTGTTTTTTTGGTGGTACCGGGGTTTGAACTCGGAGTCCCACACTTGCTAGGCATGTGCTCTTGAGCCACAGACTCAGTGTATTTTGCTTTCTTTTATTTTCATATAGGGTCTTGCACTTTTGGCCGGGCCATCCTTGGACCATGATCCTCCTACCTGTGTCTCCCAAGTAACTTGGATTACAGGCATTCACCCCTATGATTGGCACTTAGAGGTTCTTAATCTGGGGTCCATACCCTGAATGTTCACAGAGACATTTTGGGAGGTTTTTAATCTCCTAAAACCAGGGTTACTAAACTTTTTCTTAGAGGACCATACAGTAACTGTTTTAGACTGTGAAGAACGTAGGCTTTTGTCTCAAACACTTACCCTTATTTAATATGTAGTGCAAAGCCAGTTACAGACAATAAGAATGGACCAGGCTTTATTCCAATAAAACTTCATTCACAAAAACAGGCAGCTGGTTAGAAGTCTCTAAATAGTATGTAAATGCTATGTGCATGTATGCATAGTTGTTTTTGTTGTTATTAGAAGACCAATAGCTTCCTATAGCTACTCAAGTAAGCGCAACATCCATGATGGTTGGGAACAACTGGTCTAAATGGTTTCCAGATGCCTCTGGCTTAGAGATTCCAGGGTTCTATCATATTATATGCCTTTTCAATGAACAGTCTCTTAGAGATTATTTCTCCCTAGCAGGTTCTTCTGATAGATTCTACTGTAAACTAGTAAATGGACAGTAATTACTGTCTGTTGAAAAGTAAACATGGGTCACATTACTATTTCAACTTCATCTGGTTTATCTTGTGAGGATCCTGGTAAAAACACAAATATATTCTAGACTGGGATATAGCAACTGGTCCTGTACCAGACAATGTGAGGTTTGCTGAGGCTTTTTTCTTCTGCCAGACTCACTTTCTGTATTCTACTGAGCCTTTTTCACATGAAGAACTCACCTTTCATGACTACCCCATATGCAATTTGGATTCCTGAAATCAGCCAGATATACCCAGGAATCAGGGATGGTGCAGGAGGGAGGGAGATTGCCAGATGTCTTTGACCGATGCATCTTTGCATCTGTTCATTGACCCTCTCTTTGCTAAGGAAACATTTCTTTTAGGAGTCCCTAGATTCACAGGTTCACTGACTACACCATGCCATCCTCCAGAACTTTGAGCAAAATAAGCCTCTTTTATAAAGTACGAAGCCTCAGATGTTTTGCTTTAGTAAGAGAAAACTGACTAATGCAATGTAATTTATCCTGCCTTCTGTTCCTGGGTCTTGCCTTTCCTCAGTAGAATCTTGGGGTGCAGCTTGCTGACTTCATTTCATCATGTCCACCACAGAGCCTGATACCATGCTTTGTACATATGTGACAATAAGAATAAAAAACTAGAGTAAAAAACTATGAAGTTGTTTTTAAGTTATTAGCACTGAGATCCTGGAATGCAATAATTAGCTTTAAATTTCTTAAAAAATGAAAACAAGGGCTGTTCAATTGACTAAAAACAAGATCGAGTACTTTAAATTTTAGGACTAGTAAAACTGACATATTAAAATAAGGAAGTACAAACACTATGAATCACAATGTCATTGCATTTATATTCCAGTTTTTTCTGAGAGTAGAGAATTGAGCATAGGGGAAGAGCAAGAGAAAAAAAATAAAAGGAAAGGTAGATCCTGGAAAGGGAGAATGAAACAAGGGGAGCAAAGAGACAAAGAGAAATATAGACAAAGGAATGAATGCAGGGTAAGTCTGTAGGCTAAACAAACTACTGCTGGGTTGAAATTCATTGTCATTAAGATGCAGCTATTTCTCACAGCAAGTGCCCCCAAAGAGAAAATAAACTAGCAAGTGGAAATAACAGCATAAATCACTTAGCCAGTACTTATGGAGTCGTTATTCCATATTAGATACCTATATATATCACAACAGAATTAGCGCTAGCTTTCTGAAATGAAACATCAATAAGAGGACCACATGGTGCTGACTGTACCCCCCAACTAATATTCCAGCTCAGCTTTAATTATCATGCTCATCTGGTAGCAGCATGTTGCCAGTAAATAGAAGTGGGTCGTGGGAAGCCTGCGTTCTTGTCCTGGCATATCATTATATGACCTTGGTTGGCAAAGCTCTGGTCCTTAGTTTGTTAATTGTGAATAAGAATTTCCTATTCTGCTTATTTTACAGGGATGTTGGGAGGACAAAAAGTGGAACTAGATATACCCACATGCTTGGATAAGTATAAAATGCCAGATAAATGTAAAATTGACCTTGCTCCTTCCACTCAACAAAGTAGTGGGTAGGTGGGAGGGAGGGCATGATGGCATTTTGCACAGAAGGCTTGGTGACTCAATGAAGTGTCTTTTTTTTTTTTTCCCCTAATATCTGGTCTGGGATTATTACTGCTTTCTCAATGTTTTTAGGCATACTTTTCCCCTTCAGAAATGCCAAAGGTGAAAAATACTATTCTACTGCTATAATTTGTCACCCTTGCTGCCTGAACAAGACATGCACAGACAGTTCAGTAATTAAGCTTTTCAACACTGCATCATAAAGTTTTATTCTGGCAAAGACTATATTTATCAGCTAACAAGTATTAAATCATCCCACTGCTCAAGCCATTTCTCACTTGAATATGCTCCTTTCGAAACAGAGCAGCTTTCCTTGGCTGGCTTGATTAATAAAAGTTCTTAGAAATATGGTGATGAGGTGTGGTCTTGTAGGGCCCTAAACACACAGCCTTCGCAATTGCTCCAAGTGGTGCTAACCCCTATTTCCTGGGAAGGTTGATACCTTTACCCTGTGGTCTTTTAGAACATCCTTGCACCTGACTTCCATGGCCCTTTGGTGAGCAGGAATATATTCCCTTATCCATTTCATTTCTAAAGAGAAAGAGGCAAATGAAAATGTAAATGGAGTTTTCAAAATGATTAAAATGGCAATGTGACAATGATTTACATGTTAAGGAAGGTCACTTTTTTCATATATTATAGTATTATCAAAATGTACAGAAGTAGTAGGATAACCTACTTAAAATAAATAGATATGAGAAATTGCTACTAATGGCTTAAGAGAGGGATTTCTGTATGAAATCTACCCCTTCTTTTTTTTTTAATCAGTATTTCCCCCTCCTTTGTAGGATATAAAATCGTGAAAGAATATAGCATGGTTCTTAAATGTTCAAGTTGCTTTCAGTCAAAAGTTCTAGAATTATATATGTTAAAAACAAAATAGCAACTATATTTGAAGGACTTTTCACCATATTTCAAAAGTAAAATAAGAAAAGACAAATACTAATCAAATATGGACCACAGTGATGAAGTCACTATTTTTCATTATTTTATGACAGAAAATGCATTAATTTTTTTGTTTCTATGCTTCAGAATAAGTGACATTAGCCACAGATAGGGATTTTTAAACAAATTTATTGCTAAAAGAAAACCTATACTAATATGCTATAGGATTACGAAACTCCCTTTGTAGCTACATAAGCACATTCTGCCTGTAAGTGTGTCTTTAAACACTATCAAAATAAGTCTTTTGTTAAACTTTTCTCAGTTTCGGAGGCTGCTTCTTTCCTTTCGAAATGATAAGATAGAACTCATTGTTTTTCTTTTGAAATTAGCAACAGGTAACTTGTTTGAAATGCTGGGGTTCAATTTCTCTCCAGCCAGCAAGTCACAGGGTCAAGTTACTGAAGCATGTGGGTGACATGCTGAACCACTAAGTTGGCAACTATTGAACTATTTTAAGTGCATCTATTTTCTGGTTCAGTAAATTTTTCAGTTAACTTTTTGTTGTCTGACAAGAAATTTACATCATTAGACATGACACAATCTAGGTGTCACAGCACACAATGGAGAGCAGGTAAAATAACAGCACCAGGCATAACAGATATAAGAGTCAATGACTGATGTATTTCTCTCAGCTTCTACTTAATTTTTATCTTCCATATTAAAACTGAAATTTGTTTGAAGATTAAAAAGTAATTGTGATTTGGAAAATCAAGATGAATCTTATTTTTTCCAAATCTGCAGGAGGTTCCTTTGTCAGTCAAGTTGCCTTCCAAGCTGCAGTTCTAAGCTGATGACATATGTGACCTACAATTCAGATCCTTAATAGCTTGGGAAATAAATGAGAAAGAAAAATTACTCTCTGTGAGCCTTAGTTCAGAGAAATCTTGTATTTCAGTAATTTGCAAAAATATTGATTCAAGGACACATTTGAAGACTTCAAATGAGACTTGATCATGATTATTCTTTATTCAGAAGTGAAGTTTTCAAAAAGGTAATAAAAGTTTTGGCACTGAACTGTTACTGTGATTTAATATGATTTGGGGGGGAGGATCCTTTGTTATTCTTAAGTAATGTTTTTCATCCAACAAGGATTGGTCATGACAATTCAGAAAAGGGGGAAAGGTATAAGGCGTAAGAAATTTTCATTCTACTATGGGTTATAACTATCAAAATTTTAAAATTGATTTTGAACTCCACATGAAAAATGACAATAAGTGAAGAACAATTTTCCAGTTTATTCTCCCCATAAAACAGAAAACAAAATAATCAATAACAGAAATTTGTGAAAACAAAACCCAAAAGTAAATGTAGAGAATAAGAATGCAGGAACTAAACATGATTCTTTAGAGCTTCCAGAACACATAGGGCAGAAGTAATGCAGCCATCGAAGTTGGACTGTGTAAATCCATCCCCTCCACACACAAGGAAAGGTTTGAGATGAAGAGTCATTTGGCCAGGACAGTTGGCAACAGCATTTGTAACCTGAAAAAGTAAAAAAAAAAAAAAAGATTGCAGTTGACATCTGTGCTCCATGGTGTTGTCATGGCAACGCCAACCCGGAGAAGGTTTTTCTACCTGGAGAAATCAAGATTTCTCACAAGGAAAGCATTAGAAAGAACAAAAACAAAAACAAAGACCCCTAAACTCCCCCCTTAGCTCAAATATGTACATTTACATTCTTAAATGTTTAAAATTTTAGTTATTAGCTAAGATAATAAGAAGTGTGTTGAACTTCAAGATTAGCAGGTATTATGGTTTGAATGTTTATATCTCCCAAAGTTCATATGCTAATGGTGATATTAGGAGGAGGAGTCTTTTGGAATGTGATTAAGCCATGAGGGATCAGTGCCCTTATGAAATGAACCCAAGGGAGCTTGTTGGTTCCTTCTACCATGTGAGAACACAGCCAGAAGGCACCATTTATGAAAAAGTGGGTCTTCACAAGATACTGAATATTCTGGTGCCCTGCTCTTGGACTCTCCAGCCTCCAGAACTATGAGAACTCTTTCTTTTGTTTATAAATCACCAGTCTATGGTATTCTGTTACAGCAGGCCAAAAGGACTAAGTCACACTCCTCCTCCCACATTCCTTCTTTCCTCCCTCCCTCCTTGCTTCTTTTCCTTCCTTCCTCACATATTTCCTGAGCGCTCTTCTGAGGTATGCCTTTTCTGGGCACTGGAACAGTTGAAGTTTAAAATATCAGAGTCCTATCTAAAGGATTTCTTAGTTCTGAAAGTAAGACTGATCCCAAAGCAGAGAGTGGCTCCCTTCTGCTACTTACTGAGCACCTCTGTGTGCCAAAATTTCATTTGCAAGCTATATTTATGAATGAATTAATTAGTTGTAATACATTAATGTAGGTGTCTATGGGAGTCTGACAGATTTCCAAGAGTTTACCAGTAAGGTCATTCCAAGGAGAAGAAGCATCATGTGTAAATGCCCAGTCTATGGGCAAGAGATGGCAAACAGTGCTTAGAAAGTGTGGGACAGGTCACAGTGCACATGTGAGAGTGTGTGTGTGTGTGTGTGTGTGTGAGTGAGTGAGTATGTGTGTGTGTGTTAGGGAAGGGGTTTGACAGGATATGGCAAAGAGGCCAGATAGGAGAGATATAGGATATAATGTTTAAAAATTTAAAACTATAAAAGCCAAAAAAATTTGGAAATGTAGAATCAACTACTTAAAGGCGGAGAATGAGCTGAAGGTGGAGATTTTATTTTGTGGAATGAGTTTTATAATATTTGAAATGATAGACGCACAGAGGTTATTTCCTGCAAAGATATTCTTAAAATTACGATGATGATGCCCATAACCATTCACATTGAGTGGGAGGTGAATGTAGTTGTCTTGGACTCAGAGAGTTGGTCACTGAAGCACCCACAACTTCTGAGAATACCAAAATATGAGCTTTCTACAATGGTAGTCTCACCTGGCATTACTTCATGACACAGATTCAGGGGACATCATTTATATAGACTACTGCATGGCAGTTCTCTCTCTCTCATGCATTGTTTTCATGGAGAGTAACAGGGTAAGGGATATGAGGATTTACTTGTTTCAAAATCAGGAAAAAGTGGAGACCTGTCATAAATATTATTTGGATTATGGTAGTGAGATTTTGGTCATACATAGGCTGAGTTAGTATATGCATTTACAATTTTTAAAAAGCAGAAATGCTTTGCATAGATTTTTTTTTCATTTTTCTTTTATTATTCATATGTGCATACAAGGCTTGGTTCATTTCTCCCCCCTGCCCCCACCCCCTCCCTTACCACCCACTCCGCCCCCTCCCTCTCCCCCCCCAATACCCAGCAGAAACTATTTTGCCCTTATTTCTAATTTTGTTGTAGAGAGAGTATAAGCAATAATAGGAAGGAACAAGGGTTTTTGCTGGTTGGGATAAGGATAGCTATACAGGGCATTGACTCACATTGATTTCCTGTGCGTGGGTGTTACTTTCTAGGTTAATTCTTTTTGATCTAACCTTTTCTCTAGTACCTGTTCCCCTTTTGCATAGATATTTTTGTTTCTATGTTATATTTTGACTTGTTAGGAGTGGGGGATAGTAGGGATCAAATCCAGGGACTTGTAAATGCTAGGCAAGTGTTCTACCACTGAGCTACACCCCCAGTCTTTACATTTTCCTTTAACAAAAGAGGTAGGACTATTATTTCCTTGTTGAAGTAAAGATATGGACCTCTTACTCAGATGCAAACACAATATTAAGAGTATCCTCTCACTTTTCTGGAGGCCATTTTATAGCAACATCATCTATCACACACATAGCACATAACCTTGAAATCAGTAGATAAGATCTTTGAGAGGCTAAAATAGGCAGCACATAGTAGTGACACTGAAGCCCTGACTTGAGCATTCAATCAGAGCTTTTCAATTCTTGCTTTGGATAGGATTTTAACAAGTTGGATTTTTTAATTTGTCAGTGAAACACAAAGGAAGGAAGAAACTTCTAGGTTCCTAGGTATTAATAATTTCAGAACATATCAAGTGATAGTTTCAAAGCAAGAGATGTTATATAAAAATTCAAACAACAGACAGTACTGGGAAGAAACTTGACATTCTAGGGCCATTTAGTGCAGGGGCAAATAACTTTCTGGCACTTAATAGGCCCCAAGAGTATCAGTCATTAGTTGTCCTGCATCATTAATGTTCACAACAATGGTCTTACATTTTCAAGATCCAATTCTAATATTCATAAAGTATTCAGTGCTAGCATCTCTTGAATGTTCATTGCGTATCAAATGTTTTATATGCATACCTCATTCAGTTCACACAGCAACCCTGTGAGGTGGTTGCTATTACTCTTGCTTTGCAGATGAGAAAGTTGAGATTCAGAAAGATGGTTAATTGCCCAAATACAGAAAGCTGGTAAATGAAGAAACAGGGATTCAAACAGAGAGCAGGCTGACTTCAGAACTCACATTTCCAACACATTTTGATTTAAGTAAAACAAAACAAAAATGTTTAGTTGCTTAGCTTTAGGCATCTAAAAGTTCATATAAATGGAAGAACTCATTCATATAAACTCATACATATGCAAATGCATGTCTGTGCAATTTTAAAAACAAAGAAAAATGTTTTAATAGTTACTTAGCTTCATGTATCCAGAAAATTCACAAACTTGCGTAATTCATTGATCCATATTAATCTATAGACATACATACGTGTATCCATGTGGAATATACACACACATATGTATAAATCTTCATTTGTGATGACTTTTGACACATTCAGTTGACATCCCCATGTAGACAAGCTTAATACTTAATAGAAGTATTAAGCAGGAGCAAGCTTAAGGGGAAAAAGTTCTGCCCATTTGTGAGCTGGTAATTTACCGGTGTTGTGTAATTTAATTTGATGAGTAGTAAAAATGCTAGATGCCAGATCACACGGCTGGAAAACTGGGCCACTGATTAGCCAGTCGGCAGTTTAGATGAAATCAATCTCACTGTATTTAGATGGCATCACCCACTTTTCAATTACCCGATGAGGAAAATATGAAAACATGGAGTGTGTGTTGGCAAGCTCCCTCAGCCATGTGAAACAGCGAGCCCTTCAGTGCAGGAGCAAGTAATTGTCACAGCCACAATCTCTCACAATAACACAGCCTTTGGCTGCGCTTCCAGCCACAGTGAGGAACCACAGCTCAATGACTGTGTTTAAGGAGATGTCAGGGCTGAAACAACCCCTTGGAAATCCAGGTTGCTTTGGCTTCCATGCATGCCACCACTGGTCAGCAAGAACTCTTGCCTCCTCTGGGTGGCTAATGTAATGTTTCTACAAACTTAGATGATGACCGGACTGGATGTACAAACGCAAAGCATAAAAAGTGGTTTTTTTCCTAAATGATTTAAACCCATGTGAATGTATTTTGTGATTTCTTTCACCTGCAGAATAAAATGCAAACTCTTAAGCTCCACAGGGAGAGCCCTTCCTAACAGAGATCTAACTTCCATTCCAGTCTCACCTCTTTTCACCTTTGCCACAGTCTTATCTCCAATCAAACTAAGGTTCTTCAAACATACCTTTTGTTGTTGTGCTTTTGTGGGTTTGAACAAGATTTTGCTGAGCGATGTACCCACCCACCTTTTCTGACAAGCAAATTGCTCATTCTTTAAGACTATAAACATCACCTGGTTTGAGGTCTTCTTGCTCTGCCAGGCAGAGTAAATGCCTTTCCAGCTTGATATTTTTATTGATTATGTTACTTGCTATTTTTGCACTATAATAATGTCCATTCCTGCCTCCTAAGAGTAGGGTCTGTGATTCACTAACCTTTGTAGCCAAAGCTGAGAACAGGGCCCAGTCCATATAAGAGTATGAAATAAATGCTTATTGACTTAGAATTGTACACACAGTTGATCAAATGAAGTTCTTCACAGGGACCCATCTACATAAAAAGTGTGATTCAGAGGTTCCTATATAGCTGGGCAGAAGAGTGAATGGAAGAGCTACTGTATTTAGAAGGTGCTCAATAATGATGAATTAAGGGCTAGTCTTTCATCCACTTATGAACTGCAACTGCTTTATGTGAATGTCTTGTATGTCATGTATTAACTTGAACCACACAAACTTGATGATTCTATTTGCAAAAAAATGGCAAAACATTGTCAATTTTATATGATACAGACTAAGTGATTTTTGTGTCATGATTATTAACTGTAAAAATGGTGTGAGGATGAAATTAAAGGTGAAAAGAGGGAGGCAGACAAGGAGGTTGAATATTTATAAAAAATGACAGTTGATCACAAAATTCAATGCCAACAATATTCTTCCTTCCATTCCTATGATGACAACTACTAAAGTAAGTCCATGGACTATAAGACATTTTCCCACACAGAATAATTTTATTGGTTTGACATTAGAACAGCTGTACTGTAGGCTGACCAGTTTTAGCTGGCCACCCAGCCCATTACTTGATTACTTAAAACCAGCTTTTCTGAAACATGGCATTAGGTGATGTTT